TCTTGCTGCCAGGACACTCTACCTGAAGCCTGGCTGACACTCCCACTCCCCTCCTCACCTGTGCCTGGGATACAAGACTCGGAGCCCCTCCTGGAGAGGGACTGGGCACAGCCTCATTCTTCCTGGGCTGCTGCAGACCCAGGGAGAGGTAGAGAGTGGTGTTGGGTAGGGACGACCCAGCCCCCAGGGTGGTGGAGTGTTCAGACTTGCCCTCAGCAGCCAGACCTCTGCCCAGGGGACCCAGGCAGGTGGTGGCATAGAGCCCCAAGGGCAGCCGGCCCCTCTGACCTCTACTTCCCACTTCCCAAGCGTCCTTCCTCTCCTGGGGAATAAGGAGACAAAACTGTGGGACTGTCCACCCCCGGCTGTGAAGAAGGCCAGGAGGGACAAAGCGCGCCCCCTCCCCCAAGTAGGGCCTTTGCCCCACTCCCTGCTCCGCGGCTCAGTCCCTTCCCCACCGCACCCTCCAACGCAGGCCCGAGCGGCTCATGAATGAACTGCACTGTGTGGGGCGCAAGGAGAGGACACACTCCCGGGGCCCGCCGCCTCCCCGGCCCGCCGACCAATCCCCAGACCGGCCGCGGACAGCGGCCGGCCTCAAGCCAGTACCCGCGAACCCTGCCCCAACCCCGGGCCGGCTTCGGGGATATTCGGACCCGGGAGCAGGAGAAAAGATAAAAGCGACCGAGGGCATCGGACTTAGCGACCCCAGAATCGAAAACTCGGGGGCGGGGGCGGCTCGTTCCCCACAGCGGCAGCGAGCTGGTGCGGCGCAGCTGGAACCCCCGGAGGGCGCGCGCACCTACACTGGGCAGGTAAGAGAAGAGTGGCGCTAGGGCGCCGGTGCCCGGGGTCCCACCCCTTGGGATCTCCAGGGAGGTAGGGACAGCGGGCGGCGCACATCTGGACACTCAGCAGGGGTCTGAGGACTCACATCTGGATCGGGATGTGCGGGGTTGGGGACAGCGCGCGCCACCGCTGGGTCCAGCGGGCCTGGGTACCTCCGGGTCCCGCAGGAGGTTAAAGGGAGGGGACGCGCAGCTGACTCCGGGTTTTTTCTTTGGGTGGTGGTGGGATCCTCACAGAAAAGAGAAGGGACTGGGGAGGGGTCCCGTACTCACCCCTAGGCGCAGACTTGGCTCCGGCTCCGAGCCCCGGGTTGGGGCGGGGCTGTGTATGGGGGAGGGGGAGCGGGAGGAGGGAGGGGGAGGCAGAGGGGCAGGGCCCCGCAGGTCCCACCCTCCACGCCAGCATACGCAAGGCGCGCGCACTCTCAGATTGCCGCCCTCGCGGCTGGGCCCGGCACGCAGGCGCAGGGGAGAGGCCACGTGGGAGGGGTGAAAGGCGGAGCTTGGCCGAGGATCCCGGGGCGGGATTTTTCCCGGCGGTGAGAGCGGTATGGTGGGGGCCATCACGTTCCTAAGTCTTCTTACCCCCTCTCTTTCTTCCTTGCAGTAGGGGAGGCTCAGTCCTCGGGGGTGGGTAAGGAGAGGCCGCAGTGGGATGGTCGTGGGCCGTTTGGGGGTCAAAGGGTCAGTGGAAAGGGTCCTGGGGAAGGCGGATCTGACCCGGAAACTCCTCAGTCTAGACCCGGTGGGCGGCGGTGGTCTCCGCGGCCTTTGCGCCCCCGCGCCCCCAACACGCGCTCACCTGCCTTCCCAGGGGTGTGGGGCTGGCCTGGGGAAAGGTGGACTGCGGTCAGGCATTTGCGAGCCGCCTGGGTCCGTGGCCTAGGCCGGTCACTCCGGCGCGTTTTCTCGAGTGTGTCTCCTTTTCTCCTCCTCAGGATTTGGGTCTTTGAGATAACTTTGTGACTCGCTTGCGAGGCGCTTCAGTGCAGTGGGGAGTGAGCGAATCCCCAGTTTTCACTTCTGTCCGTCTGGCCGATGAGCGGCTTCCTGGCTCCTGGGGGTTTTACTGGTTTCTCATTTCAACAGAGACTGGATCTGCCAACGATTAAGGCTGGGAAGATGAACACTGTGCGACAGATGTGTGCATATTTTTTCTCTAGCTCACCCACACAAATAGATCACAGAGGCACTAGGAGCACCAGCCTGTTCATTTCATTTTGGGTTCCTGGAAAGCATTCTTTTCTTCAACCTTTAAGGGAGGTGGTTGGGGGACTTAAAGAAAGTATTGCTTTCCACTGTGAGCAGTAAATCAACTTTGCCACCCTGAGAGATTGAATGGATTGAGTTTATAAAGAGATTTAAAAAGGCATATGACAGATTTATCCTGGGTTACCTGGGAAAAGCAGGGAGTTTGGGAGATACTACACCTAGGCTGCTGGTGATGGCGGGGAGCTGGCTAGCTGTGGCTGCAGGACATAGGAGGGACACAGCCTATCTGGGGGTGTCTGCTATGATTGATCAACGTCTGTCCTGTCCACTGGCTTTTTTTCCCACCACGGTGATACTGTTTATTTTATAAACTGATCTCTTATTTTGAGGAAAGGTGACCACCTGGAGTGGCTTCGGTTCCAAGTTCAAAGGGTATCTTAGAGCAATAGTCTTGGAGGTTCCTCTAGTCTCAATTAGTCCAGTAAGTCTGGCCTTTTTTAGGAATTTGAGTTGTTCTACATTTTTCTCCCGTTCTAACCATGACCTTGTATTGTGTCCCTGGTCAGAACGGTCATTAGTGGTAGCCAGGCACCATCTAGTTCTTGTCTCAGGCTAGAGGAGGCTGTGGTTCGTGTGAGCAGTTAGTCCTGTGGACTAATTGCTTCCTTGAATGTTTGGTTTCCTTCACTCTCCTTTGCTCCAGACAGCAAGACACCCATAGTTGTATCTTAGACGGCCACTTGCAAGCTTTTGAGACCCCAAAGGCTACTCACCAACCTAGGATGTACAGCATTATCTTTCTGAGCTATGTTATGCCAATTGATGTGCACTGGCTTTTTAAAGAGTTCATTAATAGCTTGTGGGATGCAACTGTAAGGTTTGGTTTTTGGCAGTGTGTTTCAAACTGTGAGTCCCAATTAGTGAGTTGGAAATCGGTTTAGTGGATCACCACTGTCATTTTAAAAATAATGAAATAGAAATGTCAGAGTGCATTGCATTTGGTAAAGATTTCTTGACACTAACTAACTTGTTTCAGGTATTTATGTAAGACTGTATTTAGGAAGTGTTATGTAAACTGTTTCTGTGTGTCACAGAAAAGTTTGAAAAAGCATTGGTCTTCCGTATGCTCCTATTGGCCCCTCTTGCTTTCCTCAGCCTGAGTTTTCAGTCAGGTAAAATTGTCCATGAGGATTCAGTCAGCGTACTAGGAATATATGGTAAAGTGTGGATCTCGTTCTTCAGAAAGGTTACTTACAGCCCAAGAAGAAAGACAGTTCATTTTTCATTCAGTACAATTAAAAAAGAAGGATTTTTGTTGAGGATTGAATATATCTAAGATTCCTCTATATTGGGAAGTTAAAAAAAAAAGCAACTGCAGTGGAATCATTCTGACTCACGGTGACCCCATGTGTGTCAAGTAGAACTGTGTTCCATAGGGTTTGCAGTGGCAGATCTTTTTGGAAGTAGCTTGCCAGACCTTTCTTCCAAGGTGCCTCTGGGTGGACTTGAACCTCCAACCTTTTGGTTAGCAACCAAGTGCAATAACCGTTTGCACCACCTAGGAACTCCGTGTTAGAAAGTAGATTAGCTTAATTAGGGAAGGGCAGTTTTTCATAAGGAGTCCCCTCGGTGATGCAGACGGTTAAGCGCTCGACTACTAGCTGAAAGGTTGGCAGTTTGAACCTACACAGAGGTACCTTGGAATTAAGACATGGAAATCTGCTTCCAAAAGGTCACAGCCTTAAAACCTTGTGGGGCAGCTCTACTCTGGACAAATGGGATTGCCATGAGTTGGAATGGACTGGAGTACAACTAACAACAAGTTTTTAATCTGTGATTGAAGATGGGGATGAAGCTGGCTTTGGTAGACTGCCTGGTGGGAGAAGTCTTTGTAGATTTGGATTCTGGGAGTTGTTTTGGGTGGGAGCAAGCAGTTTAGATGAAGAGGAATCTGTGGTAGTTTTTTTCTTGAAAGAAATTGTTTATTCTACCCTTAGAGCTTTTTGGGTGTATATTTTCTGTGGAACTTTTAAAATATTGTGTTGATTTTTATGGTTGTGAAAGTTGGTGTGATCCATTGCTTGTATGGAACAATAATAACATTCACTTTGAGTCCAAATTGCACTGATAATGGGTATTTGGAACCTGGAAGTGGAGGCTGTAGTTACCCGCTTTGTGGACTTCCGAGGATCAGTTAAATGAATTTCTTCTTAAGTTTTTTTAAAATTAAATAGTACAGTTATGAATCTGAACATGTGGATTCCTGATCTATTTTTGTCTGTGCCTAATTAGGAACACCAAATAATAACAATTGTCCTGAAGAACTGTAGGTGCCATCAAGTGACACCTTCCAGACAGAAAGAAGAGGAAGCATTTCAGAAAGCCTGAAATGAGAACTGAAATCAGTACACTGTGGAATCCATGAAGGGACAGTAGCCAAAATGTTTTATTACTGCTCCTGAATATCGGGTAAAAACTTTTTCTGGAGTCCGTTTTGCAGGCACTAAACACAGTTGTTTTCTTCTCAGCCCCTTAGCTATCACCGGTCAAGCTTGTCCTACTGTGGTAGCTTACGTGTTGCTAGGATGCTGGAAGCTATGCCACCGGTATTTCAAATACCAGCAGTGTCACCCATGGTGGATGGCTTTCAGCAGAGCTTGTAGACAGAGACTAGGAAGAAAGGTCTGGCGATCTTCTGAAAATTAGTCAATGAAAACCTTCTGGATCACAACAGAATATAATCTGTCTCACTTGCTTTGGACATGTCATCAGGAGGGAACGATCGCTGGAGGAGGACATCATGTTTGGTGGAGTAGAGGGCCAGTGAGGGCAAGGGAGACCCTTGGTGAGATAGATTGGCACAGTAGCTGCAAGGATGGACTTGAACATGCTGGCGATTACAGGGATGATGCAGGACCAGGCAGTGTTTCATTCTGTTATGCATAAGGTCACCATGAGTCAGAATTAACTCAACGGCAGCTGTCTCTCAGCCCCACAGAGTCTTAGAGGATGCAGGAGTCCTTTAAACCCTATCTTGCCCTGATCCTATTTTCAGGGATTGTGACACTTAGACTCACCTAAGATGGATTTTCCTGTTGTTTGTGTTACTTGGATAGTTCTTATGGCTGTGTGGGGGCTTGGGAGGGTCTTGATAATCAGGTTATGGTTTAGCCTTCCTTTTTAGAGGCTAGTGGCTTTTCTTGAGTTGATTTTTATATATATGTTTTCAGTGACAGCCATTGTGTGAGAGAGGACCCCAAATAGGATCTCAGAAACGTTGGCTGTGGATCAGGTTATGTGCTGTCTTATTAAGAAAAATGCCAGGAAGTTTATTACTCACCAACAGAACACAACTCAGAGTAAGAAAGGCCTCCTCCTCAGAGACTTAAAAATCATCCATGTGTCTAGAAAAGACTGGGAGCGCTTTTCACATCCACTTTAAGCTGAAAAACACTTTCAAGGCTGAGTGATCCTAAAGAGACACCTGTGGTGCTGCCCTGAGAATCAGGGAGCTGTGCTGTTCTCACTGGCCAGGATCTGGGAAACAAACTGCTGTTCCTGTAGGCCTGGTTCCCACAGGGTAGTTCAGAGAGGGACTCCCGACATTAAAACGATCCCTAACATGAATGAAGCTAAAGCCCTCTCATTTTTGTGTCTGTCTTGCTCTTCCTAGGAATCCCTGCTTGACAGAGTCATTGAGGCCTGGAGAAGGAAGGGGAGCATGGGGTGGAGGAGATATGTTTTCCATCGACAGCATGCCTGCTTTGAGTCAGGGACCCCCTCGGCTTTTCTTTTTCCCCAGTGCCCTCCTACCCACCTGACATCTCCACAAACCTGGCTTCTTGCCACTGGCTCAGTGTAGGTCCTAACAGAAAGGGTTGCTGTTAACTGCTGTCGAGTCGGCTCGGACTCATGGCAACCCCATTCACAATGGGATCTTACTGTTGTGAGCCATAGGGTTTTCACTGGCTGATTTTTCAGAAGTGGATCACCAGGACTTTATTTCTGGTCTGTCTTAGTCGGAAACTGCTGAAACCTGTTCAGCATCATAGCAACATGCAAGCCTCCACTGATCAGTGGCTTTAGCTGCACTTGAGGTACATTGGCTGGGAATCAAACCCCAGTCTCCTGCATGGAAGGTGAGAATTCTACTACTGAATTACCACTGCCGCCAGTAGGAAGGGTTGTTATTGTTAGGTGACACTGAGTCAATTCTGACTCATAGTGACCCTATATGACAGAGTACAACTGCCCCGTAGGGTTTCCTAGGCTGTAATCTGTACGGGAGCAGATCATCAGGTCTTTTCTCCTGTGGAGCCACTGGAGGGTTTGAACCGCCAACCTTTCAGTTAGCAACCAAGTGCTTAACCATTTATGTCACCAGGGCTCCTTAATAGGAAGGGTATATGTGTATAATTAAGCAGAACTGAACTTTGCCTTGTGCAGTTTTTCTGAGTTAGGCCATACCAAGATTGTTAAATATTTCTGCACTATGGGTGTTTTCACACCTGTGACATGGAGGCAGGAGAGTGGGGGAGGAGCAAAGGTAGAGTAGATAAATCTACACATTGAAAAAACAGCTTGAATAATTGAGAATTGCCAGGAAAAACTAAGAACATCTGCTTTAAATGCTTTTGTAGCAAGGTGAGGAATAAGTTAAATATAGGACATGAACCCTGGAAATGTTTTTTCTTTGTAAATCAGCTTGCGAAGTGGATTCTTTTGCAAATGGTTACTGCGCTCAGCTGCTAACCAAAAAGTTGGAGTCCACTCAGAAGTACCTCAGAAGAAATGCTTGGTGATCTACTTCGAAAAATCAGCCATTGAAAACCAATCCTATGGAGCACAGTTCTACTTTGCCACACATGGAGTCGCCATGATTCGGAATCAACTCTATGGCAACTGGTTCTGTTTGGTGGTAGAAGCAGTCCATCGGCCTGTTGAGGGATGCTTTGCTTATTGAGAGTGGTGCTGTGAGCTACTTCAGTGAGGTGAAGCAGAATAGGCTTCAGTTTTAGAGTGAGGCGCCGCTGGATGTAGTGCACATGTTTACTGAAAAAGCAGCTTTTTAATTCCTGAGTAAATTAAGATGATGTGGCAGCCTTGTTCAGAATACTTTTTACCAAAGGAGAAAGAGTACATGCCCTATGTGTGGTATGTTTGTTTCCAGGCAAGTTTCAGTGGTTAAAGCAGCATCTTCACACAGGTATTGTGCAGGGTAGACCAACAGCCTTGGGCTCCGGCTGGGATTTTGTCGTCTGCTTGGACAAGTCGACAAGTCTCTTAGCGGGTCTGACTTCATTCTGACTGACTCTGTTGAACCAGCAGAGCTGTTCAAAATTCTTAGCCAATTGAGCTTGCACACTGTTACTCTTTCTTGTCTTTGTGTTTCCATTGGATGCTCAAGAATGAAATCATTAAAGAACGTGATCTGTGTGGAATTGCTTTGAGAATTGTAATATGTTATACTTGGGTAAGGTTGGACAACAAAACACTAGTGAGCCTTTAAGCAATAAAGAAGAGTACTTATTGGTCCAGAATGATTTGAGGAGACACCTGCCACTAGACAGGGAGAAGTTGTGTCTGGATGACAGGTTGGAGAGTCCTGGGAGTCCTTTTTGGACTCCTTGAAGCGGCCAGACCTCTGCTCTCCCCTGCTTTGATTAAGAAGAGCATTTACATCTTCACACTCAGTGGAGCTTGTCCTTTTTGTGCCTGGGCTTTGCATTTGATTTTTCTTTGTGTTTGTCTTTTCCCTTCTGTTACATACTAACAGAATCTCACTTTAAGCATTCCTTTGTGATTGTGCTGATATTTTTGTTTTGTCCCTTTTCTATAGGGTCCATTCCTCTGGAAAGGGCTTAAAAGTATATAACAAACAGGCACCTAAAAATTGAAATTGTTTAGGTAGAAACAATGTATAATCATATGTGGGTCTGTGATACTAAGTACATCATTTTGCTGATCTTCCAAGTTCAAATAATGGGGACTTTCCAGCTTCCCTCAAAGCACCAGTGGTGTAGGTTCTTTCTATCTGCTTTTCCAGCTTACTCACTATTACTAAAACTAGCTCAAATGAGTTCTCTTTGCATGAGTGGCCCCCCAAATCACTGGGAGCCTGAGGAAAGGGCACAAGTAAACCACCAACCCAGCAAACATGGTGCATCTCTGGAGCCGGAGGATGAATTGCTGATTAATTTTATTCATTTAACAAATATTCACTAAACTCCAGTTAAGTGCCAGGCACTGTTCTGGACTCTGAGCATGCAGCACTGAACAGGGCAGGCACAGTCCCTGCCTTCATGGAGCCTACGTTCCATGGGACCTATAAGTTGATGACTAGTGAAAAATTCACCTCTGTGTCTCTAAATGGTCCTCTCTCGGCTCCATAGCTGAAGAGAGGTGTTAACGTTAAATCAAGATGGATCATGAGTGGGACTCTTGATTGCGTTTGGTAATTTCTTTTTCCTCCCTCCCTCCCCCCTTCTCTCCCTCCTTCCCTCTCTTTCTCCCCTTCCCCATCCCCTCCCTTCCCCTTCCTTCCGCCTTTCTTTCTTTATTTTTGTTTTGAGGGGAGGGGTTATGATTCATACTCTGAAGAGGGAGAGTAATGCTCGGGAAGTGGCATGAAAAGCCGACTCTAGTACTGGAGTCATCCAAATACCTGGCCTCCTTTAAGTGGGGGTTGTAGAGGAGAAAATATCCGGGTTAGTCTCCTGTGCAAACGTAAGACTCAGAACAACATTACTTGTGAAAGAAAGAAAGCATTATATATAGACTGGATCTGGAGTGAGTCAAGGCCTGTGTCCACAGGGTGGATTTATGTTGGGAAATAACATCAAGGTCAAAGTTGCTTTGGGATAAATTGCTGGCTCCATTACTCTTCCCTGACCCAAATCAGTTATTTAGTGGTGGGGTGAGGCATTTTCCACAGTCGGCAGTGTAGGCACCCGGCGCAGGCAGATGACACCTGGGGCCTGTAACCGTAACATGGGCTACTCCTCCCACCAGCAGTGCCATCCTTATCCTACCGCATGCTTGCGTGACCGGGTTCCTGGTACACAGATGGGGGCTCTACAGTGTCCAGATTTCTGTGTGGAGCCACGGGTCAAGGTGGGAGTCTGTCTGTCTGTTGGCAGCCCCATTTATTTTATTCAACAAATATTTATGGTGCTGCTACTATCAAGTTCCATGCTAGGATCTGCTGGGGTGAGAATGGAAGGGAGATTTTTATAAGGGGCATATTTACAGTAAATGAATATATTTGATTCTTTTGTGCTTTCAGTTTCATAGGAATACCTAGTTACTGCTGGCTGCTTGGTGTCTTAAGTTCTTTGGTTCTGAGTCTCGAGGTCAGTAACATCCACCAAAGAGCTAGTGAGAAGTCACTGAATCGGGGTCTCGTGAAAATGGAAGTGCTCCCTGGAGACATGGAAATGTTACTTTTGTGACTGAGGACAGTATGGTAGTCCTCAGGCTCTGAATCTGCGGGGTCCCTGAATTCCTGTAGCGAGTTCAGATGCCGTAATATAAGGATCTCTGGTTTCTGAGTCTTGGAGAATGAGTAGCAAGAAATAGGATGTTGAGAGATGACAGCTTTATCTCAAAAAAAAAAAAAAAGATCCAAATTTCTTAAGTGTCTGAGTCTGGCTAGTGAAAGGTGGAGTGGTGAGAGGAGGCCTTTGTGTCTAAGGCATGTAGGACGGGTGAGACTGATGCCACAGTTGTACACAGTATTCTCACAGGAGTTGCTTCATGGAGGCAGTGTGTTTGGAGCTGGGTCGCCAGATTTGGCTGAGTGGAGATGAGTGTAGGTCGTGGGGGTGGCTTGTGAGCAAGGCCCCGAGAGGAGGCCTGGGCTTGGGAAGGCTCCGTTTCTGTTTGTGCACAGACAGCCCTGCAGATTTTAGGGAGGTGCCTTGAGTGGTGGGGTTTTCTGTTGTCTTCAAGTCAGGAAAGTTCTGGGAAGCCCCCAGGCACCTCTGCAGTTCTTAGACTAACATCAGTGTTCTTGAGGAAGTAGCTCAAGCGTGGAGAGGCAGGTGTCGAAACTCTCAGGAGATGGAATGTGGGTGGTGCTAGGTTAATCGTGAGGGTTCTGTGGAGTGGTCGACCAACGTCTTTTCTCCCAGAATCCGGTGAGAAAGCTTGGCAGGGATTTGAGGTAACTACAGCCTAGATCCGAAGGGCTGCTTTCCGAGCTATGTTTTCTTTTTTTTTTTTAAAGCCAATTTTTATTTATTTCTCAGAATGTGAAGCACTTCTTGCACCTATACTAAAAATTGTCCTCAAAACTCAGATTTGAGTCAAGTGAATGATTTTCACCTGGTGTTTATCTGCATTTCTGTTGATTCAGCAGAGCAGTGAGTTGAGGGTGAGTGTGCCTGTGACGTCAGAGTGTTCTTGATGGCTTGAGAATGGTTTAACAGTTGGAACAATATCAATATTTAAATTAAAATCACCAGGTTTATTCGGTTGATTAAGAGTGTGAGTTACAGAACAGACTACCGGGGTTCAAGTTTCAGCTTTGTCACTTCTAGCTGTGTGACCTTGGACGAATTATTTAACCTCTTTGGGCCTCATTTTCTCATCTATAAAATGAGGCTAAAAATAGTACCTATTTTATAGTTTGTTTTTTTTTTTTTTGCGGGGGGGGGGGGACTCAAATTAGATGGTACAGGTAAAGCACTTAGCCCAGTGCCTGCCACGTTGTAACTACTTAATCACCAAGTGATCATAAGGAAAGAAAACAGAAAGAGACCAACTGACCCTTAAAGTTGCTTCACACCCTGAGTACCCTTGTGTGAAATAAGCTTTGCACAGCAGTGCAAGGCTGCTGAGTGTGGTGGAAAGACCCTTGGACTGGAAGCTGGGTCCACTTCTGGTCCTGCCCTGACTAATTGTGAAGCTTTAAACAAGTCATTTAGTTACTCTGTATCTTGGTTTTCCAATCTATGAAATGAAATGTGCCTGGTTGATTATGATAATAGGTAATTGGTATTGAGGGCTACATATTGAGTGCTGGGTAGTGTGCTAAGTGCTTTACATGGCTTAGCTCATTGAATCTTCATAACCACCTTGTGAGTAGGTACTATTATTGGATTTTGGCTGAAAGCAAAGAATACCAGAAAGATGTTTACCTATATTTTATTCAAAGACTTTTGTCTGTGTGGATCATAACAATTTATAGATAATATTGTAAAGAATGGGAATTCAGAACACTTAGCTGTGCTCATGTGAAACCTGTACATAGACCAAGAGGCAGTCATTCAGACAGAACAAGGGGATACTGCATGGTTTAAAATCAGAAAAGATGTGTGTCAGGGTTGTATCCTTTCACCATACTTATTCAATCTGTATGCTGAGCAAATAATCCAAGAAGCTGGACCATACAAAGAAGAAGGCAGCATCAGGGTTGGAGGAAAACTCATTAACAGCCTGTGATATGCAGATGACACAACTTTGCTTGCTGAAAGCGAAGAGGACTTGAAGCACTTACTGATGAAGATCAAAGACCACAGCCTTGACTTCCAGGCAACATGGCGCTATAGTCAGAAGCACCATGCCATCTCTCCACAGCAAAGATCAGGAAGACTAAGTCAAACAGAGTCATACGTCAATCCTGAAACCCTAAGCATCAAATGAAGAGAGAAAGAACTCAGCCAGGCACCGAATGCAATAAGATACTGGCTGAGAACAGAGAGTGAGGAGAGATACATGGAGAGGTCCCCTATCAGCTACCGCAGCATGGATCCGCCATCTTGGACTCCTATCTAAGATCAGCGAACAAGGGGTACGAGAAAGCAGCTTCATGTAGCTTCCAGCAGGAGACAGAACAACCAGTAACCAGCGATATACATTTTCACACCCCCCACCCTTCTTCACCCCCACTTAGCCTCCTCTGCTTCTTGCAGCCATAGTCTCTTGGCCAGGAAGCACTTGGATTCCACCCGCCCGCACTGGCTGGCTCCTTGAGTGCCTTTGTTGGCTGCTGGTGTTGCTTTTTTCCACTTCTTTAGATTTCTTACTTATCTCTAACCAATTGTCCCTCCTTTCTCTCAAATACCTGGCTCTGTGCGCCACCTTGCTTCTTCCTGAAACGCTGCAAAAAAATACCACTTGACTGTGAAACTGCTTCCCAGCCCGTGCGGCCACGCTAATGGGACCCCCGGGGCTTTTTTGTTTGTTTGCTCTGATTTGTTTGTTTTCTTTTTCTTTTCTTGGCTTGAGAGCCCCTTCTAGCTGGGCAGTACCACGCAGCTTGGAAGCTACTCCCTTACTCTGTGCAGACACACAGGGACATCCCTGGGGGCATTTCTTTTTTCTTGTTTCTTTTTTTTCTTTTCAGTTTGTTTTTGGGTTTTTTTGTTTGTTTGTTTGTTTCTTTGTTTTGTTTTCTTCTCTCTCTTATTCCCTTTTTGTCTTTCTTCATTTCCAGTTTCTCAATTTATTCATTTTTTTTCTTTTTGTTTTTCCTCATTTCTAAGTCTCTCATCGCTCCACTCCAATAGCAAGCTCCATTAGCACTCTTTTTTGTTTGTGTGTATGTTTTTGGCTCTGTTCCTCTCTCATCTTTCCCATACCCATCTTAACTCCACACATTACAATCTTCCCCCTCCTTCCTGCCTACCTGCACCGTGTGATGAACATCACACTCCCAAGCAACACAGGCACGGCCTGCTGGAACCTGCCCTGCACTGATTCCCAGTCCGCATTGTCAGCCCTGGTACATGCCACAAACAACCCATCCCAGCAACTCCCCTTCAGCTGGACCTGCCCTGCTGTACCATACCTGAGTGTCCACAGACGAGCAAACAACAAAGAACGCATAGCTCGCCTGCTCAGACATAACCAATTAAAACAAAAAAGCAGGATGAAACAAATCTACAATCAATAAATGAGGGAAAATAACCACTGAATGCCCCAAAGACAGCAGACAATATTAAAACATTTACAAAAACAGGACAGGATTGTTGCAGTAGGCGTCCAAAATAAAACACCAGATGACCTTCTGGTAGAAGAAAAGGCACTAGACCTAATTGATAGGGAATTCAAATCTCTAATATTCAAAATTATCCAAGAGTTGAAGCAAAAAGCAGACAAAAATGAGGAAAAAACAAATTCATGGGAAAGGTAGACAAATTCATGGAAAATACAAAAACGTGGAAGAATTCAAGAAAACAATACAGGAAGAAAATGCTAAAATAAATTCACAATTAGAAATCATACAAAAACAACAGTTAGAAATCCAAAACGTAGACAACAAGATTTCAGAAATGGACAGTGTCATAGAGGGGCTGAGGAGCAGGTTTGAAGTGATAGAAGATAGGATCAGCCAAATTGAAGACAAACACTTGGATACAACTCTGTTTGAGGAAAAATCAGAAAAAAGAATGAAGAAAAATGAAACCCTGAGAATTTATGTGGGATACAATCAAGAGCAAAAATCTGCGAGTGATTGGAGTTCCAGAACGGGGAGAAAATGGAAAACACAGAGAGGATCATTGAAGAATTGCTGACAGAAAACTTCCCCAATATCATAAAAGATGAAAAGCTGACCATCCAAGAAGCTGAATGAACCCCATATAGGATAGACCCCAAAAGAAAATCACCAAGGCATATCATAATCACACTCACTAAAACCAAAGACAAAGAATTCTGAGAGCAGCTTAAGAAAAACAAAAAGTCACATAGGAGAAACAATAAGACTAAGTTCGGATTATTCGGCAGAAACCATGCAGGCAAGAAGGCAATGGGAGGACATATATAAAACCTTGAAAGAAAAAAGCCAAGAATAATATATCCTGCAAAACTCTCGTTCGCGTATGATGGTGAAATCAGGTCATTTCCAGATAAACAGAAATAAGGGACTATGTAAAAACCAAACCAAACTTACAACACTTATTAAAGGGAGTCCTTCGATCTGAGAACAAACAACATCAGACCACAGGCTGAATATAGGACACAGGATTGTACTAGCCAGATACCAACAGAGGATATGAACTCTTAAAAACAATGCAGAACCAAAAGAATTGCAACAGAGAACCAGAGAGGTTAATCTGTAAATGACAACAAAATCAGAACAACAGAAGAGGGAATAAACGGTGTAGGTATAGAACCTTCAAATGGAGATGAAGACAAGGCAATACCGAGTAATAATAGACTGGTTCAAATCTAGGAAGATAAGGGTAAATTTCAAGGAACCACAAAGAAAAGTTAACGAACCTACTCACCAAAATGAAGAACAACAAAGTCTCAGTAAAAACAAAACTTACAAAAACAAAAGAAATGAAAAAAAAAATCCACAGACAAAAGGAGCTCAGCACAGGAGAGTAAGAGGAACAAAGAAAACGTCAGCACCACAAAAAAAAGCACCACAAAATGCAATCCCAGTTCTAGGAATATATCCTAGAGAAATAAGAGCTGTCACATGATAGACATATGCACACCCATATTCATCGAAGCACTGTTCACAATAGCAAAAAGATGGAAACAAGCTAGATGTCCATCAACAGATGAATGGATAAACAATCTATGGTATATACACACAGTGGAGTATTATGCAAAGATAAAGAACAGTGATGAATCTGTGAAGCATCTCATAACATGGATGAAACTGGAGGACATTATGCTGAGTGAGGTAAGTCAATCACAAAAGGATAAATACTGTATGAGACCTCTACTGTAAAAACTCATGTAAAAGTTTACACACAAAAAGAAACAATGTTTGTTGGTTAGGAGGGATGGGAGGGGAGGGGGGGAACTAAACAGCCAATAGATAAGTGGTAACTTTGATGAAGGGTAAGACAGTACACAGTACTGGGGAAGGCAGCACAACTTGTACAAGGAGAGGTCATGGACGCTCCATAGACACTTCCAGACTCCCTGAGGGACTGAATTGCTGGACGGAGGACTGTGGGGACCATGGTCTCAGGGAACATCTAGGTCAATTGGTGTAACACAGTTTATAAAGACAATGTTCTACATTCTACCTTGGTTAGCAGTGTCTGGGGTCTTAAAAGCCTGTGCACAGCCATCTAAGATACTCCACTGGTCTCACCCCTTCGGGAGCAAGGGAGAATTAAGAGAGCAAGATACAAGGAAAAGATTAGTCCAGAGGACTAATGAACCACAGCTACCACAGCCTCCACCAGACTGAGTCCAGTACAGCTACATGGTGCCTGGCTACCACCACTGACTGCTCTGACCAGGCTCACAATAGCCGGTCCTGGACAGAGCTGGAAAAAGATGTAGAACAAAATTCTAACTCACAAAAGACCAGATTTACTGGCCTGACAGACTGGAGAAACCCCGAGAGTATGGCCCCTGGACAACCTTTTAGTTCAGTGGTGAAGTCACTCCCAAAGTTCACCATTCAGCCGGGGATTGGAGAGCCTCATAAAACAAAATGGGACTAATGAGGCACAGCAGTCCAGGGGCAAGGACTAGAAGGCAGGAGGGGACAGGAAAGCTGGTGGCAGGGAACCCAAGGTTGAGAAGGGACAGTGTTGACATGTTGTGGGTTTGTTAACCATTGTCATAGGGCAATATGTGTACTCACTGTTTAATGAGAAACTATTTGTTCTGCAGACCTTCCTCTAAGGTACAAAAAAAAAAAGAAAGAATTATCTATGTGAGATCAAATTGACAACAGCAACTCAAGGAGTTTGATGGGAAGCCTAGGAGGCAGTGAGTTGAAGATAATGGTGATGGAATAACTTGGAAAAGATAGTGGGAAAACTGGAAGAATGTGATTGATGTCACTGAACTGTACTTGTAGAAACTTTTGAAATGGTGTAACTTTGGCTATGTATATTTTCACCAAAAACAAAAAAGGTCCTCAAGGTCGAGAAGGGAGAGTGTTGACATGTCATGGGGTTGTTAACCGATGTCATAAAACAATTATGTGTACTGACTGTTTAATGAAAAACTATTTGTTCTGTGATCCTTCATCTAAAGTACAATTAAAAAAAAAAAAAAAAGACCACAGCCTTCAGAATGGATTACACCTCAACATAAAGAAAACAAAAACCTTCACAACTGCACCGATAAGCAACATCATGATAAATGGAGAAAAGATTGAAGTTGTCAAGGATTTAATTTTACTTGAGCCCACAATCAACACCCGTGGAAGCAACAATCAAGAAATAAAATGGCATATTGCATTGGGCAAATGGCGTATTGCATTGGGCAAATCGGCTGCAAAACACCTCTTGAAAGTGTTAAAAAGCAGAGATGTCACTTTAAGGACTAAGGTGTGCCTCACCCAAGACATGGTATTTTCAGTTGCCTCATATTCATGTGAAATGAGATGGATTGACACAGTGGCTGCAACAATGGTCTCAGGACCGGGCAGTGTTTCGTTATGTTGTATATGGGTCACTATGAGTGGAACCGACTCAAGGACTCAACGGCACCTAACAACAGCAACAACTACAACAGCTGGGGAAGCTGAAATTCAGAATTTAATTTGTCCAGGGTCACCTAGCTAGTAAAAGGAAAGCTGGCCTTGTGTAATTGTCTTTGATTTTGTGGTGTCAAATGTTAATAGTTCTAAAAGTTAGCTGCCTTCTTTTGGTTTAATTTTCTGATCATGGTTATATTTTGGCCAATGTTTAATGGGTTGTCTTAAGGAAAACACTAGAGTTTAAGATTTGGATTTGAGATTAAGCTGTAGTTAAGCATGTAGGAGTGTCTAGGTATTCCTGTCGAAGTAAATAGTGGTTGTTTTCCCTCACCCTAATTAAATAAAATCTTACCTGAGGTGCCTTGAACTCGTGCAAGACAAAAGTTATGTGTAAATACTACAGTGGTCAAGTCTCAAGAGTCTTTCTCATCCGAGCTCTTGAAGGAGGCCCTCTGCAGGCAAACATCTAGATGGAAGAATAGGCATGTTGTACAGCTGGAATTACTAGCTGACTGGCGATTTTTCTTAAACATGCCCTTAAACTGGGGACTGGCATGTTCGTTAGGGAACAATGGGGTTGACATTTTGCAAGCTGGAGTCAGGAGTCTTGGGTTGGTTTTTGGTTTTTCATCCCAAACTTGCTCTCCTGAACCCTACTCTCAGCTATAAAATGGTGCATATGGTTTTTCCATGCTGCAGTGATGTTTGGGAGACTGACCCAAATGTAGACCTTGGTCAGTGACTTAGCAAAGGCAGCTTTTGCCTCTGCTCTGCTCTTTTTGAGCTATACAGGTGTTCTAGCTTTTACATTTGGGGAAAAGGTGACATGGTGACAGAACTTGGGCAGCAAATTTGGGCAGTTGTTTAGATAATCTGCTTGCTTCCAAGGAGTTGAAGTTCTGGTTTCAGAAGGCACACGAGTGTCAACAAGGACAATAGTGTGAAGTTTTTCCTCTGTAGAGGACTTGGGAAGTGGTCGCTGGCTGGGTGTATACCAGAGGATTCCTGTTTTCCTTCTACCCATGGAGGTGATATAATGATAAAGATGTTCTTGCTGCTGTCGTGGGCCGTTCCGGCTCTCCAACCCAGAGTTAGAATGTGAAACAGCAGAACTGGAGCTGGAGTTCCTTGGACTGTCTAATCATCTGTGTATCTTCTAACTATTGAGATTCATGTTTAGTGACTAGTAATCTTGTGCTAGAAGTGCCGTCTCTCCCACACAAGTCCCCAGCAGTCTTCTATAAAGAAAACTGGCTCTAGTAAGGACTCTGACTTAGAAATAAATCCTTTTTTCCCCTTTTCCTGCAGGATTTGCCATCTTGGGATCTCTATGGCTTTCTGTCCTGGGCTCTGGGGCCCCCTCGCCCATGTAAACAGAGCCCTCAGCCAGCGCTGCTTAAGGTAATTTATCCCACTGAGAAAGCCCCCTGAGTATACCGTGTTTCCTCTCCCTTCACTTTAGACTTCATCTAGAAACAATTGAAGGATAACGAGTCAGGGGTGGGCTAAATTATTGAGTAGTAGGTGAGGGTTTTGAGCCAGGGTTAGGGATTATGGTGACTAGAAGGGGAGTAGCAAATCAGAGAGGTGGGCATGGGAGTCGGAATCAGGCTGAACTGAGGTTTGTTCAGGTCACAGTAGTGGAACCTGAATGCTGTTGGAGGTGAGATAGGGAATGGGATATGGTAGAAGCTGCTATTTTTCAGTCTTTACAAGATTTTTATAGTGAATTTGACATCGCTGGACCTTGTCATTCTCCCAGTGTATTAAAACCCTGTATTTAAAGATAATAATAATAAATTACCTTAGCAATACATGCTTGTTGCCCAAATCTCAAGCATGATAAAAGTGTGACAACCTCCCCTTCTTTTAGAGGCTAAGCCAGGAACCGAGAGCACAGGTTGCATTCCTGTTGGCAAACATGCCTCCTGACCTGCTTTGCATGCTCATTCCTCAATCCTTTATTGAGAACCGTGCCTGGGGTTGGCTGTACAGGATGAATAAGAATCACTTCCTGCCCTGAGAGAGCTCACAGTTGGCCACGGGAGCAGATTTGAAAACATAACTACAAGAAAATATGACAAGGATAATAATAGAGGTTCATACGGTGCTTTGGAACACCTGAGACAGGAGCTGCAAATGGAACAGGTGGAAAGGGGTGTAGAGGCAGCCTTCCCAAAAGAAAAGGGGGAGCAGGCTCTGGGCAGGGGGTCTGAGAGGCATGTGTGCTTGGAGAACTGTAGTAGTTCCTGGCCGCAGAAGCACAGCGTGGAGGTGTGAGTGTAGGAGCTGATGGACCTCAGGAGGCAGGTCAGTTGGGGTGGGCCAGCTTGGTGGTGGTGTAGACAGTGGGGAACCATTGAGCAAGCCTAAGCAGAGGAGGGCATCCCTTTCGTATTCTAAAGAGAGTTCTGTCGGCATGAGTGAAGTGCAGTGGGACCTGCTAGGACGTGAATGTAACAATCTCGGTTAAGAGAGTGAGCCGCTGAATTAAGTGCCAGTGGAGGCAGAGAGAAAGGACAGAGGTGTTTAGGAGATAGTGTCAGTAAGACTTGGTGGCCAGTGGATGTTGGTGGAGAGGCTTATGGCTTGGGAGCTGGGGTTTCTGGAGAAGCCGTTGTCTAGATAGGAAATGCAGCAGCAGGACGAGGTTTGCAAGGGGAATGATGAGGTCAATTTGGGCCCTACTGAGTTTGCAGTCTGTAGGACGTGTTGTGGAGAGTTCAGGAGAGTGGAAATATAGAATGTAGGAGAGAGGTGGGGCTGGGGATGGAATTTACTAGTTGGAAGCAATGGAGATGGATAGACTTGCCCGGAGTAAGCATGTAGAATGAGAGACGAGGACCTCAGGCGCCAGGAGAACACCAGCATTTAAGGTGCCAGCATCAGGAAAGTAGAAATCCCACTTCAGTCAGATTGCTTAATTGTTTATCTGCCTTTCAACAGGTACTCTTTAAAAAGTAATTCCTTTCTGGTGAGAAACAAGTGTTCAAACAAAAGATTGTTACCTTGACTTCCAGTTTCTGCTGTGTTGTGTAAAGGGACTCCTTTAGCAAACTTACTTACTCTTCTCTTCTGGTTCTCAAAACATATAACCCGTTGCCATCGAGTCGATTCCGACTCATAGCAACCCTATAGGACAGGGTAGAGCTGCCCCATAGAATTTCCAAAGAGCATCTGGTCAATTTGAACTGCCTACCTTTTGGTTAGCAGACGTAGCTCTTAACCACTACGCCACCAGGATTTCCCAAAAACATATCAATGAAAAAAAAATCGTGTTACTCTCGGGAGCAGATTTTGTAGGATAAACGCTGAATGAGACCTGGCCCATAAGAGGGATTCCTTTATGTCTTCAGAGTCCTTTGGAAACAGAAGGCTTTAAGTTAAGGCTACCTGGAGTTCGTTGTAACCGAAAAATTGGATTCTCTTTAAACCCATCCAAACTGAGATCTGATTGCCAAGGAGACTCTTTTTGGTACAGATAAGTAAGAACTAGTCATTTTTATTTCTTATTTCACTTCTAATAATATAACTGCCCCAGATATATTGTTGTTGTTGTGTACCGTTGAGTCAGTTTCAACTCACAGTGACCCCCAGATGACAGGGTAGAACTGCCCGATAGGGTTCTCCAGGCTGTAATCTTTATGAGAGCGGATCGCCAGGTTTTGTCTTTGTTGCACAGAGCTGCTGGACGGGTTCCAGCTGCCAGCCTTTCAGTTAGCAGCTGAATGCTTAACTGTTACACCACCCCCGGTACAGATAAGTATTCATAAGCTTCTGACTTTCTGTCAAGGCTCCCCGTGAACCACTCAGGTTGTATTGTGCTCAGGGTGTATGTTGCGGATGCACACTTTCTCCCAGACCTTGCGTCTTAGGAGGCCTGTGGACCCTGACCAGGAGAGACATAGATCTCAGACTTTTTTTTTCTCTCTCACCAGCACCACTGGGAATCTCAGTGCCATTCAGAAGATGACCCGGGTGCGTGTGGTGGACAACAGCGCCCTGGGGAACACCTCATACCACCGCCCTCCTCGCTGCATCCACGTCTATACCAAGAATGGGGTGGGCAAGGTGGGTGACCAGATACTGCTGGCCATCAGGGGACAGAAGAAAAAGGCGCTTATTGTGGGGCATCGCATGCCTGGTGCCCGGATGACCCCCAGGTTCGACTCCAACAACGTGGTCCTCATTGAGGACAATGGGAACCCTGTGGGGACCCGAATTAAGATACCCATCCCCACCAGCCTACGCCAGAGGGAAGGCGAGTATTCCAAGGTGCTGGCCATTGCTCAGAACTTTGTGTGAGGAAATCCCAGGCCTTGGGCTGCAGTGCGCTGGTGAATGAAGCAGTTCTGAGAACCGCGCCTCCGCTGAGAGGGAACTTGGGGCCAGGTGGCTGCTCCCTTCACATTGGGGTAACAGTGTCTTTTGAGAAAATAAACCTTTTCATGTATGTTTTTCTCCTGAGCTTTCTGGGATGTGGTCATGAGGTAAATGGCACAGAAGCAGTTAAAAGGTGGCTGGCCCATGTCAGGCCGTACCAGATGGCCAATTTTACATTGAATAGCATTAGTGCCAGGGTCTGGGCTTTGCTTTTCTGGTTTGGATCCTATAACATGAGTTCATCCAGGATGATCAGGCTCTGAAAACTCAGGACGAACCAAATGCCAGTTTATAAATGTACAGTGGAGTCTGTCACTTTCTAACCAGGTAAAAGTCTCTTTATTTTTGCCATCGAGGGTATCTTCTTCCTGTCAGAGGGCTTGAGACGTTAAATAGTTACAAATATTACTGTGTCACCATGGAAAAAAAGCAGAGGGCTTTGCTTAATCTAGGAGAACATTTTTTTAAGGCTGCGATAGAACCCAGACTGTAATCCTTTCTCTACCTGGTGTACCTTCCACTAGGTACCAGAGGGCTCCTCTGATCCCACTAGCATAGCACTTCCTCCCGTGACTGCTGGAGAAATGGGCAAGCCCTCATATCTCGCAGATGATATAATCTTGGCCTGTGCAGGTGATTCAGTGACAACATCTATTTATTTGTTTGTCTCCTTGAGGACATTTGGGGCTTCTTTAGTTCCTTTGATAGAATCTCATCAACTCATTTATAAATTCATTCATTTATTCATTCAAAATATCTCGAGCAGTTACTCATTAAATCTAAATGGCCTCTGAGAGGCAGGATAGTGTAATGGTTAAGAACACAGACTAGGCAGGCTATGTGGGCTTGAATCCTGACTCCACTACTTCACACTTAATGACTTTGGGCAAGTTATCTGTGTGCCTCTGTTTTCTCAGTTGTAAAATGGGAATATAATAATGGTACATACTTGATAGGGTTGATGTGAGCTTGGAATTAGTACCTGGCAGTAGTAATAAGCACTCAAAAAAGTAGTAGCTACTTTCTGTTATCACTACTGTGTATGTGCTAGCACTGGGAAAACAAGGGTGAGTAAAAGCAGAGATGGTCCTTGCCCTCATGGAGCTTACCTGACATGAATCACATAATTACACAAACAAATGTGAAACCCAAAGTATATAACAAGTGCCTGTGATAAAGGGATTAGACTTTTTCAGTGGGATTGGAGGCAGCATCCCTTAGAAAGGGTTGCATCAGCTGCAGTCTGAAGAATGAACAGACATGATAGAAATTAGAGTAGTGGTTACCTGGGGGGTTAGGAGGGGTGGGTGTTGATTAGAAAGGGCCAAGAGGGAACCTTATGGGGTGCAGGAAATGTTCTAGATGCGGGTGAGAGTTACATGAGTGTATACGTTTATTAAAAAATTACTGAGTTGTACACATTAGTACACTTTATGTAGTTAAAAACCAAACCCATTGCTGTTGAGTCGATTGCGAGTCATAGCAGCCCTATAGGACAGAGTAGAACTGTCCCATAGGGTTTCTGAGGAGTGGCTGGTGGATTCAAACTGCCGACCTTTTGGTTAGCAGCTGAGCTCTTAACCACTGAGGCACCAGGGCTTCTTATTTACTTTAGACCTTAATAAAAGTAAATGAGTAGGCATTAGGTAGGTAAGAGAGTGGAAAATGTTCCAAAGCACTGTGGCAGGAGGGAATGGGCTAAGTACCAGCTACTGAAAGAAGAAGCCAGTGCGGCTGGAGTTGGAAGGACATGGTGTAGAAAGAGGCTGGGAAGAGAAGCAAGGGCTTTGTAAGAGCCACATAGGAAGCCTTTCTTATCCTGAGGGCATTGGGATGCTCTTGTAGGGTATGTAGCAGCGGAGTGGTGGTAGGGGAGATGTGATTAGATTTCCTTTGTGGAAAAGGTCTTACAGGAGGCCAAAATGGATGAGGACAGGCTCTTGCGGTAGACATCCTGCAAGATAATGACATCTTGGACCAGGGTGGTGGTGATGGAGGGGCGTAGATGCCTTTAGGAGGTACAGTTGACGGCTTGGTAATGGGTTAATATGGGGAAGGGCCGTGGATGGGTTTTAGGTTTTAGGGTGATCTGGGAGAGGGCCGTGGTTGTGAGGATGGGGGAGCATGAGTTGTGGGCAAGCTGAGTGGAGATGCCTTTGGAACATCCAAGAGATGTCAGGTAGCTGGGTATAGATGATCTCTTAAACTGGAATAGCACTTAGTACATTTTGAAACCACTCATGCATATGTACATTCTTGATGTTCCTCACAGTCCTTAGTCTTGGCACTTTTTAAATGAGGACACTGAGTTTTAGCAGAAACGTGATTTCTCAGGGTCCTACAGCTAATAAGTGGTTAAAAAAACAAAACAAAAAGCCAAACCCATTACCGTCAAATTGATTCCGACTCATAGTGACCCTATAGGACGCAGAGAACTGCCCCATAAGGTTTCCAAGGAACAGCTGGTGGATTCAAACTGCTGAGCTTTTGGTTAGCAGCCCAAACTCTTAACCACTGTGCCACCAGGGCCCGAATAAGTGGTAAAGCTGATCTCAAAGCCAGATCCTGTGACTTCAAATTCAGGGTCTTCCTACAACATTGTTGGGTCCTATTTTTGCAGCTGATGAGTCCTATCTTGAGTTGACTCTTAGGAACTGAGGTCCTAGAGGGTGGCTTTGTGATTTCCCTGAATTCAGTGGTCATGCCTTAGAGCCTATTGTCCTGTAAGCCTTCACTGCAAGGTAGGAGAGGCTCTTGGTTCTACATCTTCCCAATGGAGGAGTGCAATGCTCCCCCAGGCTCCTCTGACTAAGCTTGATTCAAGGATCACTGGGTATTTTAAGAGCTAATACCCTTCTCCATCTGGCCCTCTGGAAGGGCCAGTAGAGTCTGTGGCTGACATGCTCTGCTGCAGTGGTTGAACGTGGCCAAGGAGGAGGAGGAATCAGCAAAATCAGGGCCTGCTTTGCCAGAGGTGAGCGTTCTCAGCTGCAGCAGCTAGTACTCGGCGGGCTCTTCTCTGCTTTTTGTGCTGCTTCCCAGAGGCAGTGGGGGGAAGAGCCTCTGTCTGAGGTGAAGGGAAGGCTGAATTGTTGTTCTCAGCCTGGCTCCGCCTGCTCAGGGGCTGCCCTGTGACTTCTCGGGTCACTTGCTCTCTGGGGTCAGGCTTGCTTCTTCCTTGGCCCTTAGTCAGCACAGTGTCTTCATCCTTTCACGTGCTCACTGGGTGCCGGCCCCTCTGCAGCATCCTCTCACCCACCTGCCTGCTGCTGAGGCTTACCAGTCATTCAAATGACTCATCTCTCTGTCCTTGATGCCCCTTCCTTGGGTCTTCCGTGGACGTAGCCACTCCTCCCAAGGTGTTCTGTGCTGACCGCCGGAAGCCTGTGGTTTCAACAAAGTCGGGTGGCCGGGGGCACTCCATTGATGACGCAGGCCCTCAGCACACAGCCCAGAATAGCCTCAGCTTTGCTTTTTTTTCCAGCTGCCCTATCACTTTGCAAACTGGGATCTAATTTGCTGTCCATTCTCCCCACCCTGGTTTCAGCCAGTACAGCTTCCTTTGCCCATGAAATATTTATAATCACTGATTACGTTTCCCTATGAGTATAAACTTGCCTTTGTTTTTTTCCCTTCTGTGCCATTAGGAAGCTGCCTCTTGCAAGTCAAAGAGCCTCATCTCTCTGGGGTCATAGGTTTCATTGCAGGGTCTTTGCTGAGATGTTCAGTTTCATCCATGGTTTGACTCCCTCTGCTAGACCACTGATGAAGTGTGGTGGGAAACCTGGGTTCCAGTTGTGACCGTGCTGCTAATGAGCTTTGTGACTTTGGGAAGCCACACTACTCGGGAGCGGGGGGCCTGACTGCAAAAGGGCCTGGTGCTCAGGAGCCCCAGCTGGCGGGTGTGACTCTGAGTAGACCCATCATGGTCACTGACTATAGCCCTCACCCCAGCCATCTTGAAGGGTGTACCCTTGGCTGTAGATGGGACCTGCCAAAGAATGTGCAGAGATCATGTGTCACCATCAACGCTCCTGGAAAAACAGCGAGAAGCCAACCACCTCCAGCAGCTCCCGCCTGAAATATCCAAGCCCAGCTTGCTTTAGTGAGGGCCGCTGTGAAAGCCTACTGTTAGGTAGAATTCACCTGCATGTCCTCCTCCTGTGTCAGTGTGAAGGTCCACCCAGGGAAAGTGAGCACCCAAGGCATTGCTGGAGCCAGAGGCTGGGCTGGGCTTACTCTCGGGGCAACATCCCAGCCCGGGGTGCAGGCGGGAGCCAGGAGCTGCTCCACGCTGACCTGACCTGGGCACGGCCTCCGTAGCTGCCTGGTGCTTCCAGGTTCCTCTTGCTGCCTTTACTGACATCATCCCGTGTCCTCTCATGTTATTTCTCAGCTCCTGACAATTCTTGTTTTTGAGAAACTTGCACAATATTGGAATCAAATGCTTAAATTCAAATACATCCCAGCAGCTGCATTTCTTTGCCTCCTCTAATTTTGTAATTCAATCTTAAAAAAAAAAGAAGTGGCAAAATTAAAAAAAAAAACTTTCCCACAATTGATTGCAATTCGGTTCTGGAGGGTGGCTATTGATCACAATCTCAGTTCTCCCAAGCATTACGGCCACTTCTCTGCTGTATTATTTTGCCAAATATTAGTAATTTTCCAGATTATTTGGTCTTCCTGGGCTGAAAGTGGTGGCATGTTTGCTTCTCAACTTCCAGCATCAAGCCAGGTCTTTATGATTTTTTAAAGCCAGTGGTTCCCAGGCAGATTCAGAACAGTGATAACCTGTTGTCATTTGCTTGGTATTATGACAGTCTATTTCATAAAACATACCGCAAGATCTTTTTTTTAAAATGAAAGTAAATTTATATTATTTTGAGGGTTTTACAAGAGCTCCTGAATAATTGGGATACCCTTGAATATTGCAAAAGCTTGATTGGCAATTGATTTTAGGCCAAGTGTTTACCTGACAAGTTGAGGCAATTCTTGGTCAATCAGAACCAAAGATGCAGTTTGTGGCCTCAGAGCCAACCTCTCTGCTCCACTCAGGGCTCCCTGTTGGTT